CATCAGCATCAAAATCAGCATAATAACCATCAGCACCATCAGCCGCAGCAGCATCAGCATCGTCATCATCATCATCATCGTCATCAGCATCATCAATATCATCATCACCACCAGCACCATCATCATCAGCAGCAGCATCATCACCATCATCGTCGTCGTCCGCAGCATCATCATCAGAAGCAGCAGCAGCAACATCATCATCAGCAGCAGCAGCATCATCATCAGTATCAGCATTACCATCATCATCACCACCATTATCCGCCGACCCCTTGTGGGTCTCTAGGCGTGTGAGATAGTTCCCCCCCATAATCCCCCCCCAGGGACCCCAAACCGGAGATTTGACCCCCCCCCCGGGCCGAGTACGAGCGCATCACGGGGCGTTTTTGGGCCCACAAGGGCCCCAAGACGGGCCCGGAAGGCTCGAAGAGGCCTCCAAGACGGCCCACGAGGGCCCCGAGACGCCAAACGAGCGCCCCAAGACGGCCAAGATGGCCCCAAGACGAGCCAAGAAGCTTCCAAGACGGCCCCAGAGGTCCCCACGAGGCCCCAAGAGGCCTCCAAGATGCGCCCCAAGAGGGTCCCTACCTAGGCCCTAGACGCAAAAATTGGCCCGTTCCCTTCGTAAAACGTATAATTTGCACAAATTCGCTTTCTGGGCTTTCCGACGCTCCAAGACGGCCCAAGAGGCCCCGAAGACCGCCCCAAGATGGCCCAAGAAGCCTCCAAGAGGGTCCCAAGATAGCCCAAGACGGCCCAACAGGCGTCCAAGACGGCCCAAGAGGACCCCGAAGACGGCCCCAAGAGCGCTCCAGGAGCGCTCCAAGTGGCCTCCCAGAGAGCTAGCTCAATCTGGTACCAGACGGTCCAAGAGCGATCAAAGACACCGAAGATGGCCTCCTGACGGCCCAAGATGCCCCCAAGAGGCCCCAAGAGGCATCCAAGATGCGCCCCAAGAGGGCTTCTAGACGCAAAAATTAGCCCGCTCCCTTCGTAAAACGTGCATGGTTCACACATTCGCCTTTTGGACTTTCCGACGCTCCCAGGCGCCCCAAGAGGCCCCCAAGACCGCCCCAAGACGGCCCAAGAAGCCCCCAAGAGGGCCCCAAAACAACCCAAGAAGGCGCCAAGACGGCTCAAGAGGCGCCGAAGACGGCCCAAGAGAGCCCCGAAGACGGCCCCAAGAGCGTTCCAGGAGCGCTCCAAGTGGTGTCCAAGAAAGCTCAACATGGTCCCACACGGTCCAAGAGCCATCGAAGACACCCGAGATGGCCTCCAGATGGCCCAAGACGCCCCCAAGAGGCCTCCAAGATGCGTCCCAAGAGGGTCCCTGGACGCAAAAATTTGCTTATTCCCTTCGTAAGACGTACAATGTTCACAAATTCGCCTTCTGGGCTTTCCGACGCTCCAAGACGGCCCAAGAGGCCCCGAAGACCGCCCCAAGACGGCCCAAGGGGCCCCAAAGACGGCCCCGCGACGGTCCAAGATGGCCCCAAGACGGCACAAGAGGTCCCCAAGACGGCCCAAGAAGGCTCCAAGACGGCACCAAGAGGGGCCCAAGAGGGCAACCAAAAATTCAAAAATCTAGCTTTCCGCCCCCACGAGCCCCAGGGGGCCCCAAGAGTGCCCCAAGAGGCCGCCAGAGGCCCCCAAGAAGCCGCCAAGACGCCCCAGGGAGCCCACAAGAGGCCCCCAGGAGGCCCCCAAAAGACCCCCAGACGCTTTCGTATTGCGAGCCGTCACGCCAGCTGCAATGCACTCCGCGCATACAGCCTAACTCTTCCTCGCGACGTGCTCACTATCTTGCTCGGCGCTAATGTGCTGCTGCCGCGCGAACTGTTTCGCGCGCGCTCCGAACGTCAACAGCCTCTTCACCCGTTTCGACTCACCTGCCACATCTTTCGCGGTGATGCCTCGCTGATCACAGCTTCCGCACACTACTGTTGCTCTTTTCGTCTTCCGGTGGTCGTCCACTTGGTTGCGGGTCGAAAGGCCGACCTCCCAGAAAGACACCCCGCACCCGGGTGCACAGCACGCAAAGCGCTCGCAAAACACGACCCAGACCACCGGCATCACGCAAACATTTGGACCCCCTACATATCTGCCACCATCCGCGCGCGACACCGCACCCTCACACAAGACGCCGCTGGCCAGAAACTCCTGGCCTCGCAACACTCACAGAAGCGGTCGGCGGATGTGGCGTAAGCCTGTAGAATCACCATCAGTATCATAATCATCATCATCATCGTCGTCAACATCATCATCAGCAACAGCAGCATCATCATCATCATCATCATTAACATCAGTATCATCAACAACAACAGCAACAACAACAGCAGCAACAACAACAACAGTATCATCATCCTCTTCCTCCTCCTCCTCCTCCTCCTCCTCCTCCTCCTCCTCCTCCTGCTGCCCCTCCTCCTCCTCCTGCCCCTCCTCCTCCTCCTCCTCGTCCTCCCGCCTCTCCGTGTCCTCCTCCCTCTGCCTCCTCGTACTCCTCCTCGTCCTTCTCTATTTTTCCTCGCCTCCGAAGGTGTGACCGCCCTCAAACGGCCTCAGGACTGAGAGAATACGCAAAAGAGGGAATTGATCGGATCTGGAGGCGCAGCCCAAATCAACGTGATCATGCCAGCTCTGTGGGGGGATAGCTCATCGTTGCGTCTTCTGCGGACACCTTGTCTCATACATGCAGGCGATCGAGATGGCCAGCGCAAATTACGGGCTCAAAAGCAGCTGGAAGAAGTTGGAAGTTCTTCCAGTCAGGTCACGGCCGACATTATAAAGCCCGACGGCACGACCATCAGTCAGGAGGACAGTATCGTGCACCTTGGGAGCATACTCTCTGCGGGCGGGGGTGTTCAAGCAGAATTGGAACACGCGAGCTGGCGCAGCCAGGGCTGAAGTTGATACGCCGTCGCGCATATGGTCCCACACTGCAATCTCTGTCTCGGAAGATCCGTATCTGAAGGGGCCCTGGGACACGCAAATAATAAATTCGCCGGCCCAACGGGCCAGAGGCGTGCTAAGATCTCCGGTAACTGGTTAACAATATTTCTAGTTCGCGCGCGCGGGGCGGCCCCTGGGGGTCCCCCCGCGAAAAGTACCCCGACCGCAGCCCAGGAAGGTCTACTCAGAGATGGTTTTCCTCCTGGGTACGGCCTCTCAGGCCCCCCAGAGCGCGCCAAGAGGGCCCCAAGAGGCCCCCAAGACTGCCCAAGAGGGCCCCGAGACGCCCAAAGGACGCTCCAAGACGCCGAAGATGATCCCAAGACGGCCCAAGAAGCCGCCAAGACGCTCCAAGTGGCCTCCAAGAGGCCTCACAAGAGCGCCCCGAGAGGCCAAAATCATTAATTTCACTAGGGTTTGGGAAGGATTTTGGCCTTGTCGCATTTTCGGCTTTCCGATGCTCCCAGACGGCCCAAGAGGCCCCCAAAAGCGCACGAAGACGGCTCAAGAGGCCCCCAAGAAGGCCCCCAGAGAGCCCAAACGGGCCCCGAGACGGCCCAAGAGACGCCCAAGACGGCCCAAGAGAGCCCCAAGACGGCCCCAAGAGGGGCCCAAGATGGGGACCACGAACCGAAACCTCAAGCCTTCCGCCCCAAGAGGGCCCCAGGAGGCCCCGAGAGGCCCCTAAGATGGCCCAAGATGCCGCCAAGAGGCCCCCAAGAGACCCCAGGAGGCTCCAAGGAGGCTCAAAACAGGCCCTACAAGGCTTCAAAAATGTCTCCCAGGCGCCCCCGAACGGCCTCTCAACAGACCCCAGGGCCTCCCAAAGAAGCATCTGGACGACGGCCCTGTTTGGGCCCACGGCGAAGCAGTAGCGATCATGCAACATGGGCCGGCGAAGTGAGCGAAGCGATTGAATACACACAAATAAAAATAATCCCCATATTTTCCTATATTTTCTGGGTTTTTGTCTTCCTCCCCACTTCCCATATTTTTGCACATTTTCCTGGGAGTCGACGATTAATTGTGTCTGTGTGTTTCTCTCCCTCCCGAGCATCTTTGAAGCATGCGCGCTGAGCAAACTGTTACACAGCCTGCACACTGCATGGCTGAAGGGTGCAGAGCGCGCCCGGCTGGACGGCTCTCGGGCCCGCGGCCTCTGGAAGATACTCCGGACTCCACACTCGTACGACAGCCACGCTACCAGTGCAGCCGTTCTCGAGCAGGCGGAGTGTCAGAAACTCAGCAGACTCTTCCTGCAGCGGCAGCTCTTCTTTTTGCAGAGATCGCGCGTAGCAGCAATGATCACCCAGTTCGCGAGGCAATTTTCCGACCGTCCTCAGTTTTCCTGAAGCCTCTCACCCGGAGAAGGGGAGTAGAAGCTGACCTCGTTGCGCATGGACCACAGAATGTTTCAAGCATGCTGCTGCCGCCTGCAGCCGAAGCGGGTTGCAGTAACGTCATATCGCCTAAATCAAACCCGACGTTTGGAAGGGTGCCGGGCGAGAATACAGCGGTTCGCAACAATAACTCGTTTATGCTTATGTGCGCGCACGCGACTTCTACTAATCTGTCTTTTCAACCCATGCTGCACAGGAGTTCGCCTGCCAAATCCCAGAAAGATTTGGAATCCCGCTTCCCCGTCGGATTGAAACGGGATGTCCGGCCAGACTGGTCCCAACGGTGGACCCTGCCACGCCCTGTTCTGGAAAAAATGTTCGAAGACCTGTTGGACGCAGACACCCACACGCGCGGCTGAGGAGGAAGAGGAGGAGGAGGAGGGGGAGGAGGAGGAGAAGAAGAAAGACGAGGAGGAGGAGAAGGACGAGGAGGAAGAAGAGGAAGGAGGAGGAGGAGGAGGAGGAGGAGGAGGAGGACGAGAAGAAGAAGGAAAAGGAGGAGGAGGAGGAGGAGGAGGAAGCACCCCCCCTCTCCCTCCCTCTCGGCGGCCTCTTGGCGGACACGCGGCCCTGCTGCGGCAGCCCCATGGGGGCCATCAGCGACGCAGGCGTGAAGGCCGGCGCGGACCGCAGCGGCGTGCGGCCCGCTTGCTCCTGGACGCGGGCGGGAAGGAGGGATGATATGTGAGGGAAGAAAAGAAGAGGACGGGAGGAGAAGAATGGGGTGGAGGAAGAGGAGGAAGAGGAGGAGGAAGAGAGGAGGAGGAGGAGGAGGAGGACGAGGAGGAGGAGGAGGAGGAAGAGGGAGGAGGAGGAGGAGGAGGAGGAGGAGGAGGAGGCGGAGGAGGACGAGGAAGAGGAGGAGGAGGTGGATGAAGAGACGGGGGGAAGAGGAGGAGGAGAGGAGAAGGAGGAGGAGGAAGAGGAGGAGGCGGAGGAGGAAGAAGAGGAGGGGAGGAGGAGGAAGAGGAGGAGGAAGATTTTCTGTGCATACTTGGGCGGTCTGGGTATGTATCGTCTATACGTGTATATGCTTACCCAAAAGGATATATATATATATATATATAATATATATATATATATATATATATATATATATATATATATAGCCGCCATACTGGTTTAGACCATCGGCCAGGCGGCCAAAGCTGTGCCCATGCGGCACGCCCGACCAACCTACCAAGGCTTTCACAAAAGCTGCAGGTGGCCATGCGGGCGATGAGGACCGCCTTGCTGGCGGCGATCACCCAGGGCGTGGCGGCGCAGACGGCGGAGACCGAGGCTGTGCCTGTGCGCAGGGCCTCGTGGAGGTTTCTGCACTACAACCCGCTGTCGGCGCGAGAGACGGAGAGGTTGGACGACATAGAGACCGCCTGCGAGGGCTACGACTTCGTCGGCCTGATAGGCACACAGCGTCGGTGCGACCTACCACTTCAGCAACAGAGAGCTGGAGAGCGATGGCGCATAGAGAGTGGATGGAAAAGAGTCAGCTACAGCAACAAGTCTGCAGGTGTGCTCTTCAGTTTCGGCAACAAATTCAAACCTCGACACTTACGACGGGCGATGGCGGCACCAGAACAGTGCGCAGGACGGGGCCTAGCAGTGCGACTGGCATCAAAACAGTTCGACTTCACGCTGATAGGCCTCTATGTGCCGCCACGACCGACCAAGTTGGAAACCCGATCGACATATGAGAAATGCGTTGACATGCTGATGGATTGGCTGCAGGAAGTCTTACAACAGACCCCGAGCCGAAGCTCCCCCATCATATGCATAGACCTCAATGACGGCATGGGCCAGACGGTCACGGAGAACGGCAAGGGGACGGAGTTCAGGGACAGCACGGCTATCCACCGCCCAGGGTCGCGACGAGAACACTATGCTGGACGCAGATTTCGGGAGATTCTGGAAGGACACCACATGGTGGCCACGACGATGCAGAAGGCCGACGACACCTGGTACGGTAACTGCGACAACTCGTCGCTCGTGGACTACATATGCATACCGACGGCGCTGGAGAAGTGGGAGACAAGCTGCGGACCGTTGGCGAGGCTTGGTAGAGCAATGCAAAAGATACCGAGCAAACAGCGACGAGATCACTTGCCAGTACACGTTAACCTTTGCATGCCCTCCATCAGCGAGCAGCGCAAGCAGGACAACTCACCAAAGTGGAATGCGGAAGCCATGATGCAGGCGTACGTGGGCATGGACATGGAGCGCAAGCGGGCCTTCGTTGAGGACATGGAGGCCACGCTTGATCAGAACTGGGACGAGTTGCTGGACTTGGCCAATCGTACGTCGGCGGATTACCTCTTCGAAAAGACGGAGCAGTTATTAATTGAAGTTGGACAACAATATTTCTCACGGGAACCTGAGCGAGATGAACGATACCAAGCCCTAAGGGAGAGGCGCATGATCTTACTCAAAGCACGACGAGGCTTTCGACTTCGGCACGATGAAAGCTCGGAAATGGAAGAACACGAAGTGGTGGAGGGACTCAAGAAACTTTCGGCTTACATGAAGAAGGAGCGAGAAATTGAATGGAAAGCTTATCAGGAGGATCTGCTGGACCAGATATGGGCACATTGGCGCGTTCGTAATATGGCAGAAGTACACAGACTTACACGGAGAGCGGCGAACACCAAGTACGGCGTCAAAAAGAGGCATTTCCTGACGGTAAAGGCCCTGGGACTTACAGCAGACAAATGGGCAGAACACTGGACACGGGCGGGACCAGACGGAGGCATGCAGGCGACACTGATGCACGACTGGGATCATTGGCGCAGCGAGCGACAACCTCAGGGTGCCGAGCCAGCAGTACTGGACGAACACCTTCGACGGGCAGCGGTTCGGGATCTTCGGCGGCTGGAGCGCTGGGTGAAAAGGGCCCCAAAAAGACGGACACAACCACCATGGGCAGCCCCCTTGGAGCTCCTGGCCATCCTCTTGAATCCGAATCCTGAGGCTCACCCGAGGAAGGGGCATAGAGGACTCGGCGCCCCTGAAGACCCCGTGAGTGCCCCGCTTTTCCGAGCTGTTCTGGAGGACGGTCTGCTCAGAATTAGGCAATCTGGTAGGACTCCCAGCTATTGGCACCTTAGCCAGGGAATTACCCTCCCCAAGTCCAAAGAGGCTCGCACGTCGGGGGGGACAGCAGACGGCACTAGGACGGTTCACCCTTTGGCCCCTTTAGGCAAGGGCTGGTACGCCATACAGAGTGTAGCTCCCAGGATGCAGGCACAGGTGCACGGTTTTCTAGAGGACCGCTCAAAGGAGGCGGCGATCACAGTAGCACAATGTACAATGTGGCGTGCGCGCAGACAGGGACGCACAAGTATTACACACCTTCATGATTTAAGTAATGCCTTCGGCAGCGTCTCCTGGGACGAGTTTGACTCCACTCAGGAAGAACTGATGCTGGAAGATTTAGAACAATTCGGACGCCAGAGGTACCACGAAGCAGTGGTCCAGTTGCCAGGCGAGGAAGGCAAGGTGATGTTTCGGATCGGTTGTGGGGCGTTTATGGGGGACCCTTACGCGGTGCGCTTGTTTCTCCTTGCCTTCCAGAGAGGGGTGAACATCTGGCAACAAAAAATGAAGCAAACTGGCAGCGACGTAGGTAATTGTATAGCAGAGAGCCCGTTCACCAACAGAGATGTGGATCTTTCGTTGTGCCAATATGCAGATGACTTGTTGAAATCTTTAGTAGCCGAAGACGCGGAGTCTTTGGCATCACTGGCCCAGCGAAGCTTTCTGGAGAACAGCACTCTAGATAGCGCGCTGGAGACAATTAGCTGTAGGCAGAATCGGGACAAACAAGAAATTCTCCCTGCCTTCGCTGGGCGCGGCTCGACTAACGATGCTCGGGATCTCCGTTCGGGGAGGGTCCGTCTGCCAGCTAAGTTTAAACCTCACGCCCGATACCTAGGAGTTCAGTTGCACGCAAACGGTAAGTTCGGGGAAGAGTTTAAAAAACGGCGAAAGGCAGTGGAACAGGCTTATTTTGCACTTGGTAGATTTTGGAGTTTGAAGCGCACGCCGTGGAAGGTCCGCCGAGGCCTGCTCATCTGCTGTGTACAGAACGCAGCGCTGTCGGGCAACGAGGCCTTTTGCCTCGCGGAGGCCAACTGGCAGGAGCTAGACAAGCTCGTGGCCAGATTTGCACGCAGGGCGATGCGCGGAGCTGCTCATTCGACCGTGACAACTGCGGAGGGCGAGCAAAAGCACAAACATATGTCGACGTCAGAGGTTCTGAAGTACTGGAGGATGGCCCCGACAAAGCTGGAGGCACGAGTGCGACGACTTAAACGACTCCAGCGAATAGCGAGTAGGCCCCATCATCACGATCACGAACTCACGGCGATCTTCGGAAAGTACCCTTTCGAAAAGTACTCGACGATTGAGGGGGGCGACTTGAAGATGGGGGACCAGGTCAATCCGTGGGCCAGGAGGGTGAAAGAGGACATCTTGGAGGGGTTGGAGGCGATGGGGGACGACACGATGTGGTTAAAGGAGGAGCTGGAGGGAGGCTTTCTGAGGCTTTTCAGAGACGCGGACCTCGCTGAGGTTTTTGGGGCCCTCGACTTCTCTCGACTGCGCGAAGGAGCATATGCGTGTGCGATACCTCCACCAGGATGGGCTCCCTCCCAGGTCCCTGTCATCGAGGCAACAATAGAGACGGAAAACAAGCAAGAACCGACTTGGGTGTGTGGCTGCAAAAACGAGGACGAGAGCTTATGCATGGAAACTTTCACTTCATTCAAGTCGGTCAACCAGCATCGATTACAAAAACATGGGCTTCGGGATCCCTGGACTTGTACGGTGATAACAAACACCTGCCCCTGGTGCCTGGGAGTGTATGGCTCTGTGGTGGCAGCGCAGAAGCATGTGGCCCTCAGTGTGAAGAGAGGCGGCGTATGCAAGTGCAGATCCCCCTACCTTGGAGGACGATCACATCCTGATCTGCGCACATGCCACATCTGTAGCCACGAATGTTCGAGCTTTGAGGAGCTCCAGAAGCACCTGCAGAGCCACGCGCCCCCGCTCGACCTGCTACGACGGGACGAACAACATGGAGCTCGAGCCCGCCAATTTCGCGCTGAAGCACAAGCAGGCCGAGGGCGAGGGCGACGACGCCAGGAGGAAGAAGCAGCAGCGCACCGTCGAGGCGCTGGTCCAAGGGAACGGCAAGGACGACAACGTTCTCGGTCGCCTCGTCACTGTCCTCGCCAGGCTGGCCTTGACCAACGCGGCAGAGCTACGCGACATCGCAGGGATCGTGTTCATCTGCCTACTCCTGCCCATCGACGGCGCCGTCGCGCTGGCCATGAAGGCCGCAGGGCAGACTTACCACGAGACGGTCCAGGCGCTCAAGTCCAAGAACGACGAGAAGGGCCTCGAAGAGTTGGGCCCACCGTACGTGCACATCTTCATGGCCATGGTGCTGGGCATCAATCAGGAACCGTGCGAGCAGTGGACGAAGGACCTCATCCTGGCGTTCTGGATGGCACACATCAAGGGCAAGGGCGCGACGGAGGTGCAAGCAGCAGTACTGCACTGCAAGTGCAGGCCCACGAAGCCCAAGGAGAACAAGAAAGGCATGGTGAAGCTCTCGCTGGCACTCCCCGCCAAACACTCGGAGGTGCAGGATGCGC